GGAGACACTGACCGCGTCAGGGCTGAGGTGGGCACGTGCTGTCCCTGGGGATCCTTGGTCTTGCACCGCGGGGGGCACAGAGAGAGAGAGCGATAGAGAGAGAGGCATTGGCCACAGGGGATCCCAGCCTGGCACCACGGGGGTTGGACTGAGCGTGTGGAAGCTTCTCCTGGCGTTGCAGGGGGGACAGGGACAGATGGACGCTGTAGGTGACCTTAGCCTGATGGTGTAAAGGGAAAAGTGATGGAGTGTCTGTCCCGAGAAGGAGCAGGGCTGTTTTCTTGGTACAGTGGAAGCAAGAGAACAGACTCCTCTCGGTCATATGGGACTCCTGAGCTTGGAGCAGGGAGCCTGGACCTCCAGACCCCTTCCCACCTGTTTTCAGGTGGCCCACAGGCCGAGCTGGCCAGGCACTCGTAAGCTCTTGCTCCTCAGTCCTAGTCACTCTCTGAAATCTGCTTGACTGCTTATCTTCTCTGACTTCTAGCTGGGCAGAGCTCTCTTTGTCCAGATAGAACAGCATCTGGAGGCAACATCATCCCCTTCCCTCCTCTCCTGCGTGGCTGTGAGAGCTGATCACAGCGTCGGGCCCTGGCAGTCTGCCCTGCCTGCCTGCTCACTGCCTCCTGTTTGTGCTCTTCCCCCCCGACAGTATCCACACCGGGGACCGACCCTACAAATGCGCTCACCCTGGGTGTGAAAAGGCTTTCACCCAGCTTTCCAACCTGCAGGTAAGGGGCTGGGCTTGTCCTGCTCACCAGTGGGGTGGCAAGGACAGCTGTCACCCGGGGGAAGGATTCCTGGCTTTCGTGGCACTGGTAGCCCAAGGGAGTCACCTATACAGCTGCATCCCGTAAAGCTGTAAGCTTGGCTTGGAAGCGGCGAGACCTTGGTAAAGCTCCATTTGTTCTGCGGAGGTTTCTGACTTAGCTGGGACGAGGCTTTTGCTAAATGTCACGCAGACTAAAACCTGGGTATCTGACTTTATTTACAGTGAAACGGAGGGCATAAGAGGGATTTAGGGGAGGCGAGTCCCTAATTAGGGATTTAGGGGGTGCGTCCTGTTGCAGTGTCCTGGCGGAGGGCACACCAAATGGCAAGAAGCTGTAAAATGCCTGTGAGCAGTAAAAAGAGATCCTGCCCCGAAGGGCAGCAATCGATCCATAGAGAAAATGGGTAGTGGAGAGGAAAAAGACGGAGGAAGAGTTGCGTGGAGACTGAGAAGGTGGGGGTTGTGGAGAGTTAAGAGGCTCGGCTCTTCGAATGCCTGGTATGCCTGCGAAAAGGGGAAGGTGCGGCGGGAGGGAGAGGAGACTGTCCCCTGCGCGAGGAGCCAGG